GCTCTGCTGAAGAGAAACTACACCTTGGCAGTAATGAAATTCAGGCTACTTTAACCAAAACGTTGCCAATTTAATGCAGCAAGAAAATGAAGAATAACACTGCAAAGTAAGAGCTACTGAATTCATAGATGATGAAGGTAATCAGTAATACAAGGGCTACAAATGATGGGTAAAATGATTAAACTGTTAATCTCACTCACAAATAACCACTGTATGAAGGAGCTGAGTTTGCTTAATTTACCAGTGCTTCAGGAATTTGGTTCTTAATGGAAACACCTGAGCATCTGCAACTGGGAACCTCAACATGAACTGGAATTTGCTATAAAATAACTTTGCCATTTAGTCTTGTAAGGTGCTCTTCTTTTTATTAGCTTATAATTAATATAGAGCAATCATTCAGTTTCTGTTGTTCTTATTAACTTAAAGTTACCACTTGTTTGAATTAGCTAGGTTTTGTTTGTTTCTTATTTGGGTTTCATGATACCGGTTTTCACCTGGATGGTGTTCTGCCAAATTCACTTGTTGGTTTTGGCTAGTTTGTGAAATAATTGGGTACTGTCAAAGACTCAATGAAGAGATAATCTGGTGCCTTTTTTTTTTTTCATACTTATTTAACGAATATAAATTTAACTCCAGGTCAGAAGTAACTGAAAAATATTGTTAACAGATGAGTTTCCTTCAACCTTCTTTCCAGTGATTATGCCTCCGTGTAGAATAGCGAGTAAACAGTTCTCAGTGCACTGAAACCATCACCACATTTTAAATTAAATTGGAGAGCAATGGCAATAGGCTATGGAATATTCTCCTGAAGAGTTGGGCACAGGCGGTGAGATGCAGAAAAGCTGGCATCGGTGCCACTGCCCCTGTGACAACTATTTTGTTGCTATGTAAGAGGGCTTCAGCATTTAGGGCTGTCGGCACCTACTGTCTTTTGTAGATACTTGATTCACAAAATGAAAAAAGGAAATAAAGTTAGGAGTTCCTTGCCTGAAGCTTGTTTACGTAGGGGTGGAAGCAAGGTGCCAGAGAACAACCCACCGCCACAATAAAAAGCACTTGGAGGTAGGGGCATGACTCCCACATTTGTTAACATACTCAGTCTTCCAGCAGGTATTTTCAGCAAAATTGTGTACACCTACAGCCTGTACATGATTATATTTCATTAGTAAACAACACATGAACAGGCTAGTCTGTTTTAATTAATAACGTGTGTACCTATGCACTGAACATGTCTGATTTACATACACTGATGGTATTCAGTTAGTTGCAGGGAACACCTGGAATGCTAGTCACATTAAAAACAAACAAAAAAAAAAACCCATACACCCCAGTCCCTGAAACTAACTGCAGCTTAGCATCATCCATTTAGCCATCTTTAAAGGAACTCTAGGTGTTGAGTGCTTAATATATGTCATTCTTCAGGTCTTGCAGCAAATATGTATTCACTTCTAGCTTATCTGTAAAAGTGGAAAGTGAGGTTTGTAATACATGTGTCCGGCCCTGTTCTTCTAACAAAGTTTGCAAACTTATCCTGGAGAATTTCTGTGAGGTAGAAATGTAAGCAGCTGTTCACTGATGCTGGATCTATTTTAAATCCCTCTGCCTGAGCATTTGCACGGAGAACAGCATCCTGATGTCTACACGTATAACTGACAAGTAGCTGATATTCTTATATGATGCCATACTTGTAGGTGGTCAAGGAAATTCATCGGTCATTTACTATTTTTAAATTAACTTTCTATTGTTTGTACATAAAATTGACTCTTATTCTGTGGGGGTAAAAAACCCTATAAATAAACAGGAGCCTCACAATGTCTCATAGATGATGCCACAAGAAACTTGCAGTTTCCAAATGGTGTACCAATGCAAATAATAATTCAACAATAATAATTTCCTATACAAAAATACATATATTTGTGGATAATATATAGGCAGCAATAAGGACTAACTTAAAAAATATGGCACTTCTTCCACGTCAATGAATCATAATTAGGAATAAGGATAAAATCTCTCTTTCTTTGCTTGAAGGGCAAAAAGACACCAGATAGTAACAGTATGTTGTAACAGTCCTAATGAAAACTTTAAAATGCTGATTAACTGTCCCAAGTTTCAGTCAAAAGGCAGCAGGAATACATCTGGACTAAGATTTTTTTTTTTTATACAAAACTCACATTGGGCTTTGGGCATCCATGTTTTTAATTCTCAATGATTACTTTTATTGGCTACTGTTGCCAAATGTTTTCTGTGCCTTTCTATTTTAATAACTAAACAGTTATCCCTGTAAGTCTCATCCTGCCAAATTAGCTGTTTAGATTTGCCATATGTTGCATGGATCAAATTGTCTTTCGATGACTGGTCTGTGCTCTTTGTTCTGCAGCAAAACTATGCCTGCAGTTTACAAGGAAACTGCGTTTCAGCTCAGCAAAGGGCAAAACTAAGGTATATTTTAAAATATACATGACAGAAAGGAAAAAAAAAAACAACTGTCTTGGAAATCAGATTATAAACAAGTTTTTGCAGCAATTTTTTTTACTGAAAATTAGGTGCTAATTAAGCACCTAAGAAATTGAGGTCCTGCTTTAATTTTGTGTACTTTCTTTTCAAGATGAAAGTTGAAGAAAACAAGCATTCTGATCACCTGGAGATAGTGAGGAGGCAGCTCCCAGCGGGATTATTGGGCTACAGTATGAATATGCACCATATGCCCAGGTAGGTAAAAGGCATCCATAAAACATCAGTTCACGTCTAATTAAAACAAAACAATATTCTGGTGGTATAGCAATAAAACTGCAGGGTATCCAGGCCAGCCTCCAGAGACTGAGACTATATTTTATGCATCTAAATAAGTAAATCTTGGTTTACTGGGGTTTCAAAATCGTCTCAGCGGGTTAGGCAAGAGGTCCAGCCGGGTCAAGATGGAGCATCTCAATGTAATTGCCTCTATCAACACACACTCAGCTGCAGAATTCCCCCCAGAAGTTTCTATCTGCTAAAGATGGGAAGAGCCAACGTGTGCCCAGTTTGCCAGGACCCCAGGCAGGGAATACCAAAGCAGCAGAAAGGCAAATCTCCTCTTGCATGGCCTTTGCTTTCCCTGTCTCCCCCATTATTTATCAAGTAGGAAGACTGCTGGTATGTCCCATCGATAACGGGGCAGCTGAACTGAGACTGACATTGAAACCTAATTTGCTGGGCAAAGCTGTTAAAATAGGCAATTTTGGATGTGTTGCATGGTTGGAGGGCTTGAATGTTTTCAGTACATTGTGATTAGTTTCACCGGTAAATGGTATTTTGTAAACACCAACAAAAAAAAAAACCCATTGCAACATCATTTACAAGAATAAGTATTATGTTCCCTTTCCAGCTAAAGAGCATCTGGCACTTCCTAGTGAATATGTCTGAGAAAATCTGTGTCAGAACTGGGACAGGAATGTGCAGTTCATTACCATAAACCTTGTGCTTGGTCCTGTTGTCCGTGGTTCCTTACATATTTCTTTGTAGCTGTCCTCTCTTCCCTATTTGTAGAAGTTGTCCAGCCACAGCAGAGAGGTGTGTGGTGGTGGTTTGGTGGCAGGGTTTGTTGGTGATACGTCAGAACCAACCCCCTGATCAGTCACACCAAAATAAATTTATAATATGGTTACAAAGGGCAGTGGGGCACACATGGTAAAGACATACCTGAATTAGTGCCAGAACCTGAGGTAGTGTAGCCACTTTGGCTTGATGCTGTCCCCAAAGTAGTTAGCCCTAATGAGAGGCTTATTACCTGGGGCACACTATATTATGAATCAGCCCCTGAGTATTTCAAATAAATGAACCCCATTCCCCAAATTTCTCTCCTGCCCTCATTGCAGAATTACACTCTTCCTTACTTTTTTGGCCTCTGTTTTATTTAAAGAAAGTTAGAAGTCTTTTCATCGCCAAACCAGCCCAGACAATGCCTTGCTTATAGCTTTGTCTCTTTGTCTTATTCTATTTATATCTAATGGAAAGAATCAAAGAGGATGACCTGCCTACATCTTATAACAATTTCTACTTTTATCTCTTCTTGCATCCCACCTTTCATGCTTATATTTCCCAAGCACATATTACAAATGTCCCACTTACTTTTCTCTGGTAAAACCACCTGAAGCAACTGAGCTGCAAGGGCAGTAGGTGCTCTATCCATTCTTTAAGGGTCACCTATTTCCAACTCTGAATGCATTTTTATATTTGTCTAATGCTTGTTCTTTCACTGTCATCATCTTTTTTCAGGTTAATATGCATTAGAGCTGGTCCCATAATGAAATCTCGTGATGTAACTCAATTCTTTACATACACAGAAGCTGGCAGAGATGGAGGGGCATGGGTCAGTGCTGGGTGATTGACCCCTGCTCTTAGACCCCACACAGTCCACTAATTCTGAGGGAGCTTGTATTTTTTTCTAAGCGTTGTGCTTATGGCCATCTCACCATAATGAATGCTGTCCTTAATGCAGAATAATTACTTATTTTTATTTTTACTTGTTCTCCGACATGTTTTTGTGGCAGGAGGTGACGAAACGTTCTGAAGGCAGCTTTGAAATACTTTGTGGAATGGTTTTCATTTCCCAAAGAATCACTCCCCAGATTCTGCTAAACACAATAGTAGTGCAACTTGTTGAGGGCGTTGCAGGATGCTTCCCCCAATGGCTGGGAAAAGCTCGTTTAGAGAAGCTCATGATCTAATAAAGTTCTTATCATTGTTCATGGTGAGGGAAGGACTTGACTACAGTAACATCTAATTTACGCAAACACACCTTGTCACCCCACCAGAGCTGGGTGGTTGGTTTGGGTTTTTTTTTGGTGTGTGTTTTTTTTTTTTTTTTCTTTTTTGGCGTGTGCTAAGAATGAGAACTGGCGTTTTTCCAAGGAGGTGTGTCAGAGGTGAAGGAACATGGCACTGAAGTATCCTATTGTGTTGTAACAAGCCTTGCTGGAGAGACCTGAAGGTGTGTCTCCACCTTTATAAATACCACGCTGCTTTTACAGCCAGCTCTACGCGCTTTTGAAAGAGGCGAGTTGCATCAGGAGCTGCCTTTGGGTGTCTCCAAGCCCTCTGCAAGGTATGTCTTTAGTTATCTTACTTTTGCACTGTGCCACTTGCAACAGATGCTTAGTGTCACAGCACTATTCACTTTAATGTCATTAGTTGCTGTGTTTGCCACAGAACGGCAAATACAACATGATTTTCTCTAAAGAGGGTTTTATGGAGTGAAAAATCTCTCTGTATAGTGAAAGGCATGAAGCAAGCCAAGTCTTATGAGGAGAGGCTGAGGGAGCTGGGGTTGTTCAGCCTGGAGAAAAGGAGGCTGAGGGGAGACCTTCTCGCTCTCTCCAACTCCCTGAAAGGAGGCTGTAGAGACGGGGGGTCGGTCTCTTCTCCAAAGTCACAGGCGCCAGGACTAGAGGAAATGGCCTCAAGTTGTGCCAGGGGAGGTTCAGATTGGATATCAGGAAAAATTTTTACACTTAAAAGGGTTATTAAGCATTGGAATGGTCTGCCCAGGGAAGTGGTTGAGGCACCAACCCTGGAGGTATTTAAAAGACGGGTTGACACAGTGCTTAGAGACTGCCGAGTGATGTTTTTTTATCAGAGTTAGGTTGATGGTTGGACTAGATGATCTTAAAGGTCCCTTCCAACCTCAATTCTACAATTCTAAGAACTGTGCAAAAGTAAAACGTGCTCACATCTGCTGCTACCTATGTATTCTAAATTCATGTAACTAAAGATATTTGCAGAGAGTTAAATGTTGAAATAGGTTCCTTATTAGCATGCCTACACAGGAGCTTCTGCTTTCTAACACGGAAACTTGGCTACAGAGACAGCTATGGTGGAAATATCTGAAAAGTACATTTTGGGGATTTAATCAACTAAATGTCAGATTTAAATAATCTACTGTTATGGTATGCTCTGATCCTGAAAGCTGCTTCATAAAGAGAAATACCTACAGAAATAAATGTGCTCTGTGCAGACACGGGGATCAGCTAGATAATTATTTGCTAACTAGCTACGTTTCAAAACTGAAGTTGCATATTTATCCCTTGAAGTTGGTAGCTTTAGACACAGCACAGCACACTGCAGGTGTCCTCAAAAGCAAAACGGTAGTTCTGTTTTATTTAGAAAGCATTAATCCAACCTAAGCAGTTCTATGATTCTATAATAATTACTTTTTGATGTCTGGAAAGACTACTTGCATTTGTTTTCAACAGAAAACGAAATACTGGCATAACCAGTGAATTAAAACAATTTTCATAATGCATAAGAAATAATTTTGCTCAACTTGAACAAAATGGTTTCCTTTCTGCCTGGCAGATTTTTGAAGAATAGTCAGAGGCTGGAGTCAAAATCACTTATGTGCCATTTACAAAACAAGAGATCATGGGAACAAGAAGGGCTTTATAAGTTATAACTTCAGATATCCATCTGAGATTGAGAAATCCCAGGTTCAAATTCCTTCTTTGACTGCAGAAAAGATTTCAATTTAGTTACCTCAGTCACTGGGCAGTAGCACGACCTGGGAGTGACTCTCTTTTTTTCCACATTGCATAGCTAATTAAGATATTGGATGAGAAGGACTTACTCCATAGCCATCTACAGTTCTCAAGGATAATACATAATGATTCCAGAGATCAGATATCATTCACACAAAGGGCAGAGGATTTTGCTGATAACATCATTTTAATAGGTATCAAAGAGCAGTGCAATACCACGTCTGAAATGCTGCAACCGTGAAATAGAGCCCAGCATTAAGTGAAAAATGTTTTTATATTTTGGGGGTTTTGTTTCTTTTGAATGCAGATAAGAAGCAAAGCGGAGACCATGAGGATCAAAAGCGCTGAAGTCCTTTGTGTGTTGATTCTGGTCTCCCAGATGCTTCTAGCCAACTGTGAAAGGCAGAAGGAAAGAAAAAAGGGAAGACACGGCATAGAAGAGGGTGGAAAAAACCAACCTGAATCTAACCGAGAACATGAAAAGGGGCGGAAGCCAAAAGGAGGAAAAGCAGCTCCTAAAGGCAAGTTTAAAACCAAAGAGAATGCTGAGTGCACCTGGGCAGTGACGGACACGAATGCTGCCACTCTGCACGTAGGCTGCAAGCACGGAGACAGCGAGTTCTGGTGTGAGTTCTCAGGAGACCCTTCCACCTGCCCGCAGTACGCAGCGAACCAGAGATCCTACTGGAAACAAGTCTCCCGATCCCTAAAGAAGCAGAAGCAGATCTGTCAAGACCCCAAAAGTGTCCTAAAATCTAAAGTGTGTAGGAAAGGGCCGCGAAGCGCTCATTTCAAGTTGACCCGCTCAAGCCTACTGACGTCAGTAGGTCCTGCAAGAGGGAACGCCATTCATCACGCAAAAGAAGTCGTTCAGGCTCCAGCAGCCACCTCTCTGACTGAAAAAAAGCAAGAACACCATCCTCAAGACTGCGTTGAAGACGTAGATTATATTGATCAGAAAAAGGTGGCTGAGGAGTACTGCCCAGAAAGCTTGCTTTCTTTCTGCAACTTTTTCATCACCATGGTCCAAGACAAAAAATGCTGAGGAGGAAGTGTTCCTAAAGCTCTGTATCACGAGAGCCTGATCTCACCTAAGTCACTGCAAACTATTCCAGATTTTATTCTCATGTTGTATAGTGTATATAAGAAAAAAAAGGAATATATTTTTTCTGATTTTGTATATACACAACAGACTACACTTGACGTAGTCGAAGCTGTTCTAGATTTTATGTGCATGTAGATTGCTACACAGGTGTTACCTATGGATGTTACGTACTCTGCACAGAAGCATATAAGTAGTCTCCTTGCCCCTCTTTGAGCTGTGCTAGCCAAAGCAACGAATTCAGTGCTATGCACTTCTTGGTTATGTACAATACTTTTGACCTAAAAATTATTAACAAAAATAAACTTCAAAACATATTCAAAATATTTTCTCTTTCTGTGTTTAACTAGATTTCTCTATAAGTGCTTCAAAGTTTGCTCTTTCACAGGATCTTGGCAAAGTGTTACTTATAAAGCAGTTTTAAAAATACTTCTGCAGCTTTGCAGACTTTATCTTTTTCAGCCAGTACAAACAAGATTTTGATAGGGAACTATATTATTATTAGTTCTTCATCATCGTGACAATGAAGGGCAGCAAGATTTTCAGATCAGCTTTTTCCATAGTTTTGCAAAGCTTCAGCTTTTCAATCTCATCAGAAGATGTCAGAAAACTTTGCAAACTTCAATGCTGTCATTTCTCCTATAGTATGAAGCACATCGTACTGATTTTATGGCAGGTAAACAGAGACACAGATAAAATGACTTATACAAGTTCGTACACAGGCCCAGGACTGGACCCCTTACTGAAGCAGCTAAAGCAGCTCAACACTGCCTGTATGTTCTTTTGAGGTTCCATTTTCTGTTATCTTTATGTATGGACAACACTAATAAATACTTTCCTATTCGTTAAACTTCATCTGTATTTTTAAAAACAGCGAAATCCAAACTCTACAAGAACAGAGATTTTAGAAAACGTAAACATAAATAATGACAACTGACCTTTGCTGATTTTTGAAACTCCATCTGGAAGAGACATAATACAGAAGTTACACATTTCCAGTGGCTATGGGCTTGGAAGGTTGGTCTTCTACCATAGTGGTCCACTTACAGAAACTTGAACTTTCATTAAATACAATTTCCCTGAGCATTTCTAGCAGATTAATACTTCTGTTTCTTGAGAAAATACAGCCCGTTTCCTTCTATAATTATCTCCTTGCTAGAATATTTGAGAGAATAGTTTTAAGAAGGGTAGCTATGAGTAACTCACCTCCTCCACTTCCTTCTTTTCATTCATTGTCGTATATACTCACTTCATATTTAAATAAGCACGTCTGGGGAGGGCATTTTAATACTACTCTTGTTGCTACAGCAATAGAAGCCCATGCCATTATTTAATATCAGTTAGTATTTTCTTTGCAATAAAGAACTAACTTAGCAAAAATGCTTAAATTTAGATGGAAGTCCTCAATAAGAAAGTACTACTAAATGCACAGCTGCTTTTTTAAATTTTTTTTGGCTTGTTAGTGGGGATCAAGCCTTCTTACACAGGGGTGAAATTATATTTTGCAATTGGGAAGAAGGCAAGGTATCAGCTCAGGCATTAGCTGGAGCATTTTGAAGAGGACAGTATTCTGAAAGCTCTCGTATGGTATTCATTTACATTTTTTTGCTACTTACAATATTGTGATGTCAGTTTGACTAATACCTTGAATGTGGGATGCTGCTATTAGTCAGGCAAACCGTTTTTGAGGAGGATTCAGCTGTATTTTGCCAAGTCTGAGAGGCAAAAAAAGAAGCAGGTTCTTCTTACAGAAGTTCCAGCCTCTGCATGTCCCATAGAAACACTGGGTATTACCAGGCTGTGCAGGGTAAATTCTGCTGGGCTGATGCCCACAGCAAGGCAAAATTCCAGTAAAAAAGGGCATCAGTACTAGCTCTTGTGGAGCCTGGAAGACATGGCCATTCTGGTCAGGAATGGCCATTCATGGCCATTCCACCAAGCAGGGTGGAAAACCAGCCACTGGTTTCTTATTATTAAGGTAGATATATAAGTATTAAATGCACAGGTGAGTTCCAGCTGCTAGACATTGTGTGCTGGCCTGCACCACTTTGCGTTGGGAGATGGTTGAGATAAGAAAGTCAAAGGAGGCAGCGGAAGGATTAGGAGAGCACGTTTGGCTCAGGCAATCAGACGCTGTAGTGAGTAATTACGAATAACTAATCAGGTACACAGACACCTGCCTAATAGTCCCAGATCACAAACAGGGCACTGGGCAGGGCTGGCTTTAAGAGGCTCACTTGCTCCAGATGTTTTGGAAGATGTCCAACCCTAACTGCCCGTCTCCGCTGTTGCCCCTATGACTACCCCTGTGAGTACTTTGTTGCCCGAGGCACGATCCACCCCGCTCCGAGTTGCCAGGAGCCCTGTGGCTGCCGGCCAGCCAGGCACACCGAGCCAGGGACATATCCCAGAGCAAATTCCAGCCCGGGATTCCAGAGCCGTGAGTTACATCTCCACGTGCAGGACTGCCAGCACGTGGACCTACCGTATGGAGCTGCGCGCTCCTCTCCAGGGACGCATCATAATTCTGCCCCCTCATTTCCTTGGGTTTTTTTCTTGTTCTTTCAGGACTGACTTTCGTCTTCACATGTGGCCCTTTACAGGAGGAAAACATGCTCAATCTCAACAGTTCCTGGGTGCATTTCATCTGCGATGCGTGCAGCTGTGCCAGCATCCTCCAAGGACAGCACGGAGCATCAGGAGAAACAGGAGATCTCTGTGCAGCCTTTTGCGTCGGAGGTGGGCTAATGTGAGAGTGCAGGTCTCAAAACTGTCTCAGCCAAAGGATGGATTTTTAACTTCCACAGGTATGTAGTTTGGGCTGCTCTTCAGAAGGGCACATTTCAGAATGGCAGGGTCTGAGGCACATATATCTGGAGTCTAACTTCATGAACAGCTTTCTTTGTGACTACGCAGACCACAAGCGCATGGTCTAAGTGCATCCAAGTTCTCACTGCACTCACCAATCCTTGTGTTTCAGTCCTACATCTACAAAGCAGTTGGCACATATATCTGGAGTCTAACTTCATGAACTGCCTTTCTCGTGACTGCGCAGACCACAAGTGCATGGTCTAAGTGTATCCAAGTTCTCACTGCGCTCACCAAGCCTACAAAGCAGTCACTTGACAGCAGTTACATATGAGTTGCTTTCTTGTGGTCATTTACAGCGCCAGTTAGGTCAGTATAACTTTGGTGTTTCTGGAGTCAGGCTGGTTCGGATAAATAAAACATTTCCTGGCATTCTTCATCTTAGGACCTGTGGTCAAAACATTTCCTGGCATTCTTCATCTTAGGATCTGTGGTCGTTATGGAAAAGTTCACAGCTGAGCTGGATTCTGTGCCTCTCTTCCCCAGGTGCACCAGTTGTCATTGTGCCAGAACTTCATGTTTGAATAACTTGGAATAATGGTGGTGGTGGTGACTCTTCTAACATCTTCTATTGCAGGGCAGGCAGGAGCACAGTGAATGAAAACAGTGAATGGATTTAAATTGTGCCTGTGCAGCCCATGTCCTCTGTCCTACCATGTTGGAAACAAGCATCTCTGCCTTCTTAGCGTCAACCCGAGTTATAGAAAAGTCAGCCCCATTTTTCACCTGGAGAAATGGGATATAGGAAGACTGAATGACCTTGAGAGAAATGGGGAGAAAATCAGAGGCTTCAGAGTTCTAGTGGTCCCCTTCTCATGCCTCCTGACTAGGTCATTCTGCACAAGAACTAAATGTATTTATTCTTGAAAATATCCAGCTAACTTCTAGGTATTTGGAAATTATTAGGAATACCTTTGGGAAAAATCAGCTTACTTTCTAGGCAATGTAGTTTGTTTTTCCAGACAACCCCGGGTATTATAATTTGAATAGTTACTTTGAAAGAAGGATAAGGCTTTTGAAGATAGGAAACTTGTTCTAGCTTCAGAGATAAAGAATTTTCAGGGAGTTTCCCTGCTCTTGCAATATGGAATACTTACACTTTTGGCAGCTGCCTTAGATTATGGATGATTTTTTTTGGGCAGACCCAACTCCCACATACCCCCATGAATTCTCAAACTCTCACCACACTTCGGAGAGCCAAAAAATGGATTTTTAAAAAAGAGGGAGAGAAAAATTTGGAAGCTACGATTTGGTTGTTTGGTTTTTTTTGTTTTTTTGGTTTTTTTTTACAAGACAGTCTTATCTAGCAAATTTTAGAGAGGTTGTTTGGTTTTTTGGTTTTTTTTTTTTTACATGACAGTCTTATCTAGCAAATTTTAGAGGTATCTTTGTATTCGCTGGGAAATGGGGAGACATTTTTAATGCCCAGGAGACAGTTCTGGCAATGCAGTACTACTTAAGAATCTGTAAAATTTCAGCTCCTTTAACTGGAAAGATTCTATTCTTTTGTTATTTTCTGCAGTGTATTTTCTACCCGGCTTTCACACACAATTTCATCTGAATGAGTTTCCGCTCCTTTTGCAACCTCCTTTATTCATTTACCATTTTGGCAGCAGTACAGATTACATATCTAATCTCACATGTTGCATGACTGCTTGTAGGAGAACTGAGCTGAGTGACTCAAGCTCCTTGCTTCCACAGGAGAGCCCTACCCTCCTCTTCCCCCGAGGGGGCCAATGAGTACCTACCGCCTGATATCACCTCACCTGGGTTTGACCAACCGTAGTGGAGGCTGAGTGTTCAGACAAGACACATTTTACTCTGCCGTGCTCAATCCATGTAGACATAGCTGAACCCCAGATAATAAATTCCACTCCCTTTTCCACCTTTACCTTGATTTTTTTCTGGTGCTGCCCTGAGCAAGGCAGCTCAATACTTGTTGGTAGCTGCTGCACCTCACCCGTGTCTTTGCCTGGTTCTCATTCCTTTTCAAGATATTATATAGTTTGCTCCTCCAGGCTGTTTCCAAGAGCGATACCGCACTGGGAATTGATCAAATGGAAAAATCCCGCTTCAAGGATGGGAAATTCAACAGGTTGCAGCTTGCAGAGGTTCCTTACAGTCTTGTCACTAAGGTGGTGGTATCATCCCATCCATGGCTGGGGCATGCATGGCTCCTGCCTGTTAGCACCATAAACGATCTGACAAATCCTGTGGAGCTCAAGACAACTGTGCACATTCCTGTATTCTAACACCTTTAAGCTTCTTTCCACTCCCTCTCTTGAAAGAGCAGGGGAACTTTGAACCCCAGCTGCAGTCATCACCTCTCTTCAAAGGGCCAGAGAGGAGAAGGCAGAGTGCAAGAATCTTAGTAGGTTTAGAGTTATCAGATACTGAACACCTTGAGGTTTCAAAAGGATAACCAGGTGCCTCGATTGCTCTTCCCATTGCCAGTGCTGCAGTGAGACAATACAAGGTCACGCATAAAGAGAGGGAACCGACCATGTCACAAAGCTTTTTACCTGTTTGTAAAGCTATTACAAGCACAAAAGTATTCACTGAGGCCCAGGTTCTCTCTTTAATGAGGATTCACGGAACAGGTTTCTCTGGAAACATGCTCCTATCTGTGTAAAATATGTGTTTTATTCAGCTGCTAGAACTTCTTCCAAAGTTGCTTACTGATCCCACTAGAAATAGCTGTTTTAAGACAAAGAAATGATAGTGAGTAGGCAGAAGAACTGTGAAGACTTCCCATGAAGTTGTTGCTATCTGGCGGCCCCAGTCGCCAGTCATACCAGGCCCCATGTGGAAAT